TATTTTCCAGTAGCGGGGTAATATAATTAATCATAATATTTGTCTATAGCATGAAAAATATAACTATAAATTTAAAATAATTAATAAAACTTCGTTTAATGAATTTAGTCTTTACGTGAGGAAGATATCCTTTATAAAAGACCCTTATATCGTTATATATACCATCTTAATACAATTCGCATTATAGGAGCTCGTAAATAATATTATAATTAGGGTAGCCCGCATTTAGGGAATTATATTAATAATTAATTAATTAGAATTAGAATTCTTTATTATAAAGGTCGATAATAGCCCTATCCCGCTATTTCGCAATACCGTTAACAATATAATATTTAGAGAAAGTTCAATAGAAAACCTTCCTAATAGTTGGCGGCTATTAGCGCTTTACTTCGTCTATTAAGTAAAAGATTAATTTTTATAGAAATATAGAGGTTTCGTAGTTTACCCGGATTAGATTATCGGTCGATTTATTATCGAAATTATTTATACTTAATAAATAAAGGGAAAAGATAATTACAGGGTCTCCGAAATAATTATATTCAAACTATAAAGGGTTTAATAGAGCCCGCTTTTGTATTACGATTTTGTCGTCTTTTTCTTTTCATTATTAGGGCGGTCGTTTAGCTTGCAGTTTAGTACGTTTGGGCGGAGGTTCTTCGAATTTAGGGTATATTTAATTAGGAAATTGAATTATAATAGGAATTCAGATTATTATATATAGCGTTAAGTTAATTATTTATTAATTATAAAGGTTTGTAAGTTTTTATAGTTTATTAAGATATTAAACGGCTATTAGGCTCCCTCTAACTTTAACTTCTATTTTTCTAGGGCTTTCATAATAGCGAATAATTCTTTATTATATACATTATAATTATATTCTTAGGACGTATATTTGGCTGAAAAGTAAACGACAGGGTAAAGGACGCTATTATTATTATATTAAGATAGGGTACCGCTAATAATCTAATTAGAAGTATTTATTTCGACAATAGTCCTTTTAGTTTAATTATAAATCTTTAGTACGGGTCTTTCGGTGAAAGCCTTTTTTAAAGATTCGAAAGCTCTTTAATAATTATTATTCTAAATCTAAATTATATTTTTCTTAGTAAATTTGTAAAGTAGGGTCGCTATAATCGAAAATCTTTTAATAAAACGATAGTAAAAGTTTATAAAATTTAAAAAGGATTATAAAGACTTCTTAAATTCGGGAGCTTACTATTCTATAATTAAATTAACTTTTTTTAGATCTATTTAGATACTACTTAACATAATAATTAAACTTAAATATTTTATACATATTATGTAGAATTTATATTTATTAATATTAACACTCAATTTTCCTTTAACGAATTTATTAAATACGTTGTTAATATAGCGTTCGTAATCTTATATATTATTAGAGTAAATAAAGATATTATTAAGGTAAATAATTACATAGACATTAAAAACGTTATAAAGGATATTATTAATATAATTCTAAAAAGCCCTTAAGGCGCTTTATAAATTAAAAAGTACTATTAAAGATTTAAATAGACTAAACCGTATAATAATAATAGTTAATCATTCGTAGCTTTATTTAATGCGGATATAGTTAAAAATAGCGATTATATCAAATTTAATAAAAATCTTAATATGGTAGATCGTATCGAAAGTTTTTTTTAATTAGCGGTAGAGGGTAACGAAATTTAAGATTAACGTTATTAATACTTTTATAATTAATATGAACGCATACTTTATTATTTAGCTTCTTAACGAATAAAACCAATAATAATATTTTGGATTAGGAGGGCCTAATAAATTTCTTCTTAAAATTATCCTTAATTTATTTTTTAATAATATTAAATTCGTCGGGGTTAAAAGCGCGGCCGCGAAAAGTGGGCGGCGTAGCTTCTAAGCGGAATTTAAGTTTAAAATTGTAAGATCGAGTAGGGGGAAGGATTTCCGCGCCCTCTTATATAAACGTATTAGTATAATACTAATACTATTTAATGAATTTAATTTAGATTTAAACGTTAATTTTAGGGAGTTTATCAACCTTTTCGTAGAATTTAATAATGTCCTCCAATATAATTTTATTAATAGAAATATTATTAATTACAAAGTAATTATTAATAACCCTTTCTGTGACGAATGGCAGACTTGATCTGCCTAAGTGGGATAGCTGAAGGTAAAGACTATCAAGTGCAGTTTGGTAAAGCCAAAGGGTTCACAACAAGTATCGTTATACGTGTCTCTGGTGACGATGGTCTATTGACTACTGTCGAACTATCTGACAATCTGAGTTCTCCAGTCGTCCTCTTATACTGCATCGTAAACTATCTTGCTGCTTAGGTTCTCTGGCTCACTCCTTGGATCTGGCTCACCTTTGCGAGCCTGGCTCACCACCGTGAGCCTGGATTGCTTCCGTGAGCCCTGCTTATTCCCGCGGGCCCGTGCCTGCCTCTTTCCTTGCCCTGGTTACACTGCCCAGCCTTCACGTGGCTGCAGTGTACCGGTGGCTTGGTTGGCCCATGTCCTTCGCTTATAGTTCGTAACACTTTCGTAGTGGGGAAAATCCTTATCTTTACTGGTAAAGTAGATAGAGTTAATTACTTTTATTATACGTAATATATCCTCGTCCCCTTTATTAACTAGGGTATTAATCTATTAATAAAAATAATTATTAAAGAATCGTTTGTACTTTTAACCTCTCCCTTCTAATACTTCCTTTATTATATCTTCTATTAAACCATTATTAATATTATCAGGGTCTAAGGTTCCTCCTTCCTTCTTTATTTTATCCTCTTCAATTCTTCTTTTAATATTTTCCTTTATATTAGTTCGAGTCGTACGGATAATTTGTAATTTATATTTTTCGGTTAACTAATTAAAATTCGGTACGGACAATTCTTTAATATTATTAAGGTTAATAGGACTTTTAAGGATATTGTAAAACCTAACCGGTATACAGTAATTAACGTTGCCGGTACGGACCCCTCTACCTACCCAATAGGAAATTAGAAAAACGCGGGGGCTAATTTGGGACGGTACAGCGGCGAGTATAAGTATTTAACCTAAACTATTAGGGGTCTTACTAATAGGTATAATTCCTAATCGGTTAATTACCCGGTTCTTAAAACGGTTGAACTATTAACAAGCAGCCTTCCTTACAATCGTAGAGATAGAGAAACAACGTATAAATTCCAATTGTAGTAACTCCAACTCCCCTTCGTCGGGGACTTCTTCATAAGAAGGCTTCCGGTACGTAGGATATATACTAGCCGTCTTAATAGGAAGCGCATACCGTTTAATTAACGGAGCATAACGGAAATAAATTAGAATTCTATAAAGGAAATAATTACATTATTTATAGGCGGGGCCGAAGCGGAGGGAATTATTAGGCTAATCGATACCTAGCGCGTAATAAACTAATTAAAGATAGCCTAAAATAATAAGGTTATCCTCTACTAAATTATAAATAAATACATCAATAACCTCGTAATAAATACCCATAATAATTAAATTGAAATATATCGATATCTATTTTTATTAATTAAAGTAGGAAATTATAGAAGGAAGGATTAAAATTAAGTATTTAGAAATAAAGAAGATACTAGCCGATAAATTAATAAAGGTTCTAGGATAATTGGATTACGAGAAATTCTGGGAACTAATAAGAATAACGAATGTACTAGCTCGTAAAGAGATAGGGATAGATAAGGAGATTCCGGATGATATTTTGGAGGATATTTATAGTTTAGCTAGAGAAATTAACGTGTTATAAGAGAGACTCTATAAATAGCTTCACTTTTACCCTATTTGGAAGGTCTGCAAGTGAGGGGGTATATTAGATTTAAGGGTGGTTTTAACTATACTATATAGAGGTTAGCGTTCTAGCCACCTGATGTTGCCTGATTTCTGGGCATATTTGGGTTACTCTAGCACCCCCCATACCTTCTGGGCGAATCAGTCACACACACTCTTCAATTAATCAATTCTGCACCGTCATATCTGATACAATCTCCGTTATTTGTCATTCCTTCCAGACGTTGCTGGGACGGGGGTACAGTTAGGTCCCCTGTAAATATGGCCAACCATCCAGTCAGTTCCATGCCGACCAAGCGATCGACCACAGCAGAGCCCAGAACAGACACGCTAGAGTTCGCGAGGTTCCAATGCATGCGAAAGGCAAGGGTGCCATGCAGAACTTGTAACGACGGCGCGTCTAGACGGAGATGGCTTTTTCGACGATGGAACTACCTATGGAAGACAGACTGCATGGGATCTCGGCCATGTCGATCGTGAGTTTGTTATGGATGGGAAAATGAGGAAGAAACTGAAATGTATGTGCAGGAGAAATGAAGAGCAGGTGTGGTAAGAGTTTGTTAGTGCGAGAGTCTCCCATCCCTCGTTGGCAGCGTTGGAGATAACTCAACTCGCCAAGCCAAATATAACTAACTACCTTACGTAACGCCTTCTTGGCAGACCGGGTATAGGGTTATGGGTGACCCCAATATTTTGGCAACTCTGGCAACTAGTGTAACTCAACTCAACTCAACTCTACTCAACTCAACTCGGGACCTCGAGTTGACCCACTCAACTAACTTCAAACCCCGAGTTGAGTTGAGTTGAGTTATCTCTAACGCTGCTCGTTGGTTCCTTCCGGACGAGTGTCGGCCTACGCCGGACCATGCCGGCCCGGGCGGGAATACACCGGATATTCGCGGCTCACGCTACCGGACAATATCCTGTGCCTCAGTCAGAAGAATGAATGAAGATGGATTAAAGAGTAGCCAAACACTTCCAATATGTGTTATAAAGATACAATGAAAAAGGAGTGTTTGTGGTGACTGTCGCTCTTTCGTTGAATGACGATCGATCGATCGGCCCGCATTCATGTGGCGCCGGGGTTCCATCGTCTTGGCTGCTTCGGGCCGTGCCACTGAGTGAGGGCGAAAGAAAAGTTTAAATAAATCGATCTCTTGTATAAGTGGAAGCTTTTCTTTGGGCGCTTTGTTCCAGTTTCCCGTCACCAAGCATTGAAACATGTCCCGTGGTCAAGCAAGTTCAACCCTATTCTGCCAACCGTGACCCCCTCCATCTACCTCATGCCTTCCAGTTTCCACGGCCCCCAGCTCTGACAGTTGCGGCTTTCCCTTGATATCTTCCTTTCCAAAGTGCTCCTGCCCATAATAGGAAGACGGCGACTGCTGCGTCCCACTTCCTGGCGTTTTGATGACATCTCCCTTCCTCTGCTCTTCTTCCGTCTGCTGCTGATGACTGGTAGCGGCAGCCGTAGCCAGCGCCTTCCTCCTTCCCCTCCAGTAACACAAGAACCACAGGCCGGCAACCGCGATGACCGCAACGCCCGCACCAACTCCAATTCCAGCCATGGCCACGGCACTTAGACCTCCTCCTCCGTTTTTGGTGCCTGAGTCCTTCTCGGCGTCGATGCCCGCTGTTGATGAATGAGTCGGTGATGTGTCTAGGTCGCTAGGGGTCGTACTGCTGCCAGGGCCAGCAGTGGTATCAGCAACTGTGGAAGACGAGGTCGTTGTAGTCAGAGCCTGTATTGACTGAGTTGTTGTCGTAAGTGTTGCGGTCGGCGGCAAAGTTGCAGGAGTGGCGGAAAATTGCGATGCTTCCGCCTCTCCCACGGTTGTCGGCCCCCCAGGGCGTCGTTGATTCATCAATTTGAAGCCACCTCCCGACAAGGGAAACCTCTCATCCATCACACGACCAACTTTGAAGCCGCAGGTATACCAATCAAAATCTACCGTCAACTTGATCATATCTTTTTTCTATACTCTGATAGGTTGTGATCCGTTGGGTGCCGGGATCACGGGCACTTCCACAACTTTTGTTGAAACGTCAGAAAGTTATTAGGACATTTTCTTGCGCATGGATAGGAAGATTGGGGAGGGACGGATCGATGCGACGCGCCTACGAGGCTTGCCAGCCAATGCTTCAGAGAGGAGATGGATTGTCAACCAAACTGCGAATGAAAATTACTCACTAGTCTTCCATTCGGTCTCGCTCCTGCCAGACCCCGTGAACTCGTCAGAACACGTTAATGTCAGGGATCCGGGTCTATTTGCATTAAAATAGATGACGATGATGGTGTCTTCGAGAAAGTAGACTTGTTCAGGATAATGAGGAAAAATCACTTTTTTTTTCCGGGTCATCTCCCGTGACAGCCCGGGCGGTCGATGAAAGGGCAATGACCAGAAGTAAAGAGGATAAGTAGCGGGGAAGTCAACCCCCGTGTCGTCGTTGCACACATATGATATGAGCTGAGCTCCATGTTGACTATAGTATAAGCAAGTATCTGACGTTCCCGCCCAGGCAACTGACTGGCACAAGAAAGAAGAGAGTAATCTGGAAACGGAGGCAAAGAGGTCGATGGATCGAAACATAGAAGGCAGCGAAGGGCTCTTAAAAGTTTGAGTGCCGGTCGGCTGGACAACCCTGATCTCTTTTTACCTACATGAACTAGGAAGAAGGATTGAGACATCTGGGACATGACAAGCAAACAAACAAGGCATTAATCCCACGCAGTCCCATGTCGATGATGTCTCGATCCATCCACGTCCGTTGCCCACTACTCCCGGCGCCTGGCAAGCTACATACACACTACCCAGACTTCCTCCTCTTCATCATATTTTTCTTCGTCTTTATCACTGACCTTACTCTGCAACTCGCCACTCGGCAGCCATAATGTCGTGACAAAGCACGGATACCCACTGTACATGATGCGGAATCATTTAAGCTAACAGAATGGTCGCAAATGACCGATAGCCTAACCGTTGGGGAGAAGTAAGGCAACCAGACATCCCGTGATGTTTATGTAGCTAGCCGCTCAGCTCAACTCAAGCACCCATCCAGGCCATCCTCCCAACATCTCACGAGACGTTCCCGAGTCTCGGATGGACCGACTGGACCAATCGCGTGGGAGACGAAGATCATTTGAGGAATGTATGGCAAGCATTGCAAGGAAAAGGAGAAAAGCTTAAATGGCGAGAATCCTGGCGCCATGCAGGACTTGTAACGATGGTGTCTGGATGGGAGAGTGGTTGTGGGTGGTGATGGTGCGTTTGGTACAGTACGGCGGAAACTTTTCCGTTGGTGCTCATCACGACAAAGGGAGATAATGGAACTGTTCTAGAAGCAAGAGTCCATGCTTCTTTGGACTCCTTGTTCATTTCTCGTTGGCGGGCGGCAAGGCCGAATACCTCTACCCACGATACCGTCATACCGGACAAGCTTCATTCCATCGCGAATCCGAGGATCAACCCAGACGTACCAGCATGGTCAGTAGTACGCTCCCAGCAATGGGCATGATGTTCAACAAGAGTCAGCATTCAAGTGTTCCTCATCGCACCTAGGATGTCAAAAACCAGGATAGCTATCCAAGAAACTCCGGTCCCCCCCTTTAGCCCTCTTCTTACTCCCCCTCCCATCCAGCCACAATCCCCCTACAACAACCCATCCAAACTCGCCCTAACCTGCAACCCCACCACCCTCGAATAATACCTCGACAGCGCCAGATTCCCTCCATGGAACCAGAACGCCTCATGCCCACTCCTCGTCCAAATCCCTCTCATCTCCCCTTCCTCATCCCACCCCCACACATCACCCACCTTATCCCCCACCTGCTCACTCCCAAACACCTCCCTGGCCGTTGACCGCATATTATCATACCCCGTCGCAAACACAATCTCATCAGCCTCCAACACCTCCCCATCCTCCATCTTCAATCCCTTCTCCACCACCTCCGCAATACCGACCCCCGACTTGACGGCAATCTTTCCCTCAACAATCAGCTTCGAAGTGCCGACATCGATATAATACCCTCCCTGCCGCTGCAGATACTTGGCAAACAGTCCCGCGCCATCGACGCCCTTATCCAGCTTAAACCCAGCTTTATCCAGCCCCGCCAATAACTCGGCATCGTGCTCAATCGTCAACTTGGTCAAGTCCTTCTGCAACGTCTTCAACACCTCGCTCGGGTACGACCAAACGAACATGTCGGCGTCTTCCACCGCCGGCCCTCCCTCGCTGTAGATCGGGCCGATAAGGTACTTGAGCGCAGCAGACGAGGACAGCACGAAGGTCGAGGAGCGCTGGATCATGGTCACGTCGTACCCGCGCTCGTAGAAGTCCTGGCAGATGTCATGGGCGGAGTTGCACGCGCCCACGACGATGGCCTTCTTGGATCCGCGCTCGGAGAGCGGGGTGGCGGTTGTGAACTGCGAGGAGTGGCAGAGCCGGTCGCCCTTGAAGACGCCACCGGCAATGCCGGGGATGGAGGTCGGCATGTTGGGTTTTCCCGAGCCGCCGGTGCATTGGATGATGTGTTTGGGGTAGACGGTGAGTTCCATGTGTTCGAGTTCTTCTTCTACTCCCTCAGGTGCGCCGCCAGGCGGGTTGGAGGAGCCTGAAGGGCGCGAGGTCTTGACGAAGGAGCGGCGGATGACCACCTTCCAGGACTTGCGGGAGGCGTCGTACTCGGAGGAGACGATGGTGGAGCGCAGCCAGATGTTGAGGTCCAGCGCTTTGGCGTACGACTCGAACCAGTCGGCGAGCTTGTCCTTGGGCGTGAAGATGGGCCAGGTGTCGGGGAAGGGGAGGTAGGGCAGGTGGTCGTACCAGACTGGGTCGTGCAGGACTAGTTGGTGGTACCGGTTGCGCCAGTTGTCGCCGATGCGCGGGTTGCGGTCGATAATGAGCGAGGTGACCGAGAGCATCTTGAGGCGGGCGGCGGCGGTGAGGCCGCCTTGGCCGCAGCCTGTGGTGGTGGGGGTCAGTTATTTGTTTGCCGAGAAGCAAAAGGAGAGGGAACATACCGAGAATCAACACATCCGGCTCGTGGTTCGTAAAGTTAATTTCCTCCTGCCTCTTCTGCGCCCAGTTCATCCGTCCCGGCTGTCCACCATGCTCGACACCCTTCGACCTGTTGGGTCCCCTCGGCTCTGGCTGATGGCGGTACTCCTCAAGAGTGGTAAAGAAGGTCCAGATCTTCCACTCTTCCGTCTTTTCCTCCTGCACCAACCTGACCACACCGCGTCCCTTGCCGTTCTGCGAGGTAAAGGTGATATAGAACTGGATGCCCTTGAGTCCGTCAACGGGAGCAAATCCGGCGACTTGCGGCTTGCGGAAAGCTTGCGACTCGTCGATCTGGATTTGCAGAGGCACTTCTTTGACTTGGGCTTCGGTTTGCAAGAAGTCACGGATCTTGTCTTTGCCTTTGAGGGTGCGCAGGTTCCAGGTCAGGGCTAGGTGGTCTCGCCAGAAGCCAGCCTGGGAGTCGAGGAACAGGTCGGGAACCTTGTCGAAGTGGTTGTTTACTGTGTCGACAACATTAGCGGTGATCTTGGCTACCTCGTCGGGCGTGGGCTCGGTCTTGAAGTGCGCTGGCCAGGGGGCAGGTGGGTGGTTGACGGAGCCGGGCTCGATGCGTTGGCTGGAGGTCGTGTCGACGAAGCTGATGGCGTCGACGGTGGTGTTAGAGTCCCCCATTCTGTTTTGTCTTGATTTGTGTGAGTGTGTGACTTGACCAACGGTGATGGAAATGATGACAGTGTCCAGACCTTTGTCGTCGATGGGCTCCCCCCCCTCTTTCCTAGATCCGGCCGGTACTTATACGGCCCCCCATCTTGTTGTTCCCCAGACCCCATCTTGTTATTCCCCAGGTTCCCCAGACCCCATCTCCCCCGCTCGCGTCAATCGCCCAAATACGTCGTAGTCCTACCTCGGAAGAGAGCTGTTCGCGAATCGGGAGTCGAAGCGTGGATGGAGGTGCAGGAGGAGTGCAGCCACAAGGGTTCACGGCTTGGTGTACTTGGGGCTAGCACAGAACATCGACCCCTCATTCTGCACCCCAGCGGTACCCCTCACTTCAAGTTGTCCAGTTCCGCTGTTGTTATTCCCGCGATGACTTGAATGGGAAGCTGAACATGTCAATCCTTTGATCCGCGTTTCTCGGCTTTCGTTTTCCCATCGTCACGATGTCTAAATTCGGTTTATTGACTTGCAGGCAGAAGGATGGGATCCGGGTCGCTTACTCCGCAAAAAGATGCATGTCATGATCGACAGTGGGGGTGGGTCCTCTGCTGGGTCGCCTGGGCATGCAACCTGTATCTCGTGACCATTGTGGTGAAAGGTCTGGAGCTTCTTTACTTTATTCCCGTCTCCTTGAGAGTCAGCGCCATTTAAAGGATAATCCAACGGAGATGGAGCGAGCAGGAACTTCATGATGTTTCGTATCGGGTCACGGGAGTTGAGCTTACAAATGCCCAAAGCTGTTCCATGTCTTGGCGGAGTGGGCACCGACTAAGATGACTCCTTAGCAATATGACTGCTAAATTACCAGCGTGTCTGCTAGTCGGATATCTGCCACCATACCTAGACATCAGCAGGCCTCGAAGCCCGGCGCCGGCATGACTTCATCACACTGAGTTCTTCACACTGAACCACCATTCTTCTGACAAGCAAAGGCAACTTCTTATTTCTATTTCTGTTCAGACTATCGACAAAAGAACGGTTCCTTCTTCCTGGCAAGCATCCAATCAAGACAATCTTACATGCTTCGCCTTGCTCTGATTTAAAGCCATCCTCCTTGTGTCCCCCATCGGGTGTAATATGTTGATCAATCTGATGCCCATGAACATCCTGAGCTTGATATCCTCCTGCTTAGGTTTTCGTCGCAGTCGTTATCCACCACTACTCACGTCCTGTTTTTATTCCAGACTGCGAGGCTGTTTCCCTGTCCTCGGTTCTTCTTCCGGCGAGCATCCAATATGACAATCTTCCCAATCCTTCGCCTTGTTGTTTCATCAACCTTTTCGTCGTTTTCATTTCCCTCCCATTACTAAAGATCCGAGCCATCCTCCTCTTCATCTTCCAGCTCGTCATCTGCATCATCCATGTAATCGTCAACGAAGTCATAATCGCTGTCCTGTCCGAAGCTTGCCACACTTTCCATATCGTGCATATCATCATCATTCGCTTCCTCCCTTTCCACATGTTCCCCATCTTCCCCATCCACAACTCCCGCTTCCTTTCGTTCCACATTCTCCCCTTCCTCTCCTCCTCTGATCGTCTCCAACGACACCCAAGTCGATGTCGGAGACGTGCCCTCGCCCATAGTCTGCATATTGCTTACCTCCTCATTCTTGACCTCATCCGTCTTTGTCTTTGGCTGCGTGTGAGTTCCTTGACTTCCCTCCGCCTCCGAACTTTGCATCCTCGCCCTCCCCCTCAGTGCCAACTCAGTCACAAACAGCCTCTCCGCCCACTCGTTCTGTAACTCGACATTAAACTCATTCGTAACAGCGGCCTGCTGCCGGAACCATTGCATCATGACCTCCGGCTTCTCATGCAGCTTGGCCCACTTCCCTTCGTGCTGGACCGGATTGAACGAATACACCCGCCCGTACTGGCGCGCAATCTCGACCACATTCTGCGACCGCTCCATCCGCACCTTCTCGTACGCCCACAGCGCCGTCTCTGCCATCTCGGGGGTGCGGACGTACGTCCTCAGCAGATGGGCCAGGACGGCCGCGTCTTCGAGCGCCTGCGCCGCACCGTTGCCCGCAAAGGGAAGCGCGGCGTGAGCGGCGTCGCCGGCCATGGCGACGCAGCCGCGGGCGTAATAGGGAGCATTGTCGTGGTCGGCAACGGCCCAGGAAGCGGAGGTGTCGGCGGCGACCATACAGACAATCTTTTGGGCCTCGCGGGTGTAGTCTTTGTAGAGGTAGGGGTTGAGCTTTGGTGTGCCCTGTCCCGGAAGTGAGTTGGGAGGTTGGGTCTGATAGGCAGGGGGGGCTGGGGATGGATTCGCGGGAGTAGATGAATTGGTGCGGTAAGTGAAGAGATCACCAACAGTGGTGTTGTTGAGAGCTGCATACCACACCCACGGCACTACACCGCTCTCAGTATCAGGAGGGGTTGGAGGGACAGTTGAAGTGGAGGCAGGGGCGGAGGCAGGGACGGAGGAGGGACCGATAGCGGTGTCCGGTCGAGCAGCGCCGCGAACGGCTACCCCGGCACTGAGCATTTTGCCATTCTTCATGGGGATGATGTTGATGTGGCCGTTGGGACCGAGAAGAATGGGTACAGTTTGGGTCAACTTCTCGTCAACCCCCCATTTCTCAATCGCCTTCTTTGTCGGGATGAGGGTGCGATAGATCTGCCATCCATCGTGATTCTTGGGTTTTGTGGCTGGGTGATCTTCGCCCAGGAGATAGGCGCGCACACTCGAGTGGATTCCGTCACAGCCGATGAGGACGTCGGCGTGGGCGCGGCTGCCGTCCGCAAACTCGATGTGGATGGGGTGGTCATACTCGCCGGAATCCTCAGTGCAGGGTGCGACCGAATCTGTGCGAGACCTTTCGCTTCCATGATGGGTTTCCCAGATCTTCACAACCTGCTTGCCGAAACTGATGTTCTCCTTGGGCACCAGCTCAAGGAATCCTTCTAGAAGGTCGGCGCGACTGACGGACTTGCGTCCCCTGGCACGACCGAGCTCGCCAACCTTGAGACCCTTATGTTTCCCCGCTGCCAGGATGACTTCGGTCGCCATCTCCTGATTCTCCTGGGCGATGTCCACGGCCTTCTTCTGATAGGCATTGAAGAGCTCCGGATTTATGAGCTTCATCGCGCCAATGGCGTTCTTGTGGAGGGACAGACCAGCCCCCACGTCACGGTACATAGGCACCTTCTCGTAAATGTGACAGTCTATGTACCTGGATTCTAGCAGGCCGGCTGCGAGGGCAGTGCCACAGATGCCGCCGCCGATGATAGCCACTTTGATCTGATGTCGTTGGCTATCTGGCAATCTGGTGGTCGAAGAGCACACCGGCGGTTGAGATGCGAGGGCGTCCATGTTGAATGATGTTGCCGGTTTCTTGGTCGGATAAAGTAAGCAAAGAATTGATGAGGGAACGAGTGCAAGGACAGTCTATGGTCCAAGGCGCGGAAAAGCGTATGAACCTCGAAAGTCGAGATGAACAGGCTGGAATGGCTGGTTGAATAGCATGCTCATCTGAAGGTCAAAGTTCAAAATGGTAGGGTACTCTAGGTAGGTAGTCCCATCGGGACGGAAGAAGTTGGTGATGAGTCTCCTAGGGCTATTAGTGATGAGTCTGTTGATACTGTTGACTCTGCGATGTGTGATGAATTATTTTTACTGCTGAGAATATCTCTCAAAAATGGTCGACTGGTGCTTATTTATCCTTCACTTCCACCACGTCGAGAAGGGGCTGTGACCGTCAGCCGTCAAGACCTTCGTCAACTGCTACCAGCTTTCTTGGCTGTGTTCGCAGCTGGGTTCTCAAGTTGGCTCGGGCAGAGTTCGGATAGCCGGTTGATTGTAAATCCATGTCGTGCAGAGAACCAGTTGGCTTCAACTGGGACGAATCTGTCAACTGAATCTGTCAACCGGGAGGAATATGCCAACTTCAAGCGTAACCACATGGCATAACGCATCGTCGATGTCCGAAGTTGGGAAATCCGAATCCGAAAGACTGGACAACCTGCACCTCCACGCTGTGTATCCAACTAAAAGCTGGAACGTCTGTCACTTACCACGTCCAATGGCAACCGCAAAGCACAACATCGTGCCTTCTCGTTCTGGTTTGGAGAGAGTCGGAGAGGCGCGGTTGCTTCGAAACCTGATAAGAAGGTTTTCCTGCTGTGGCAGCGCATTGCTCCTGCTTAACACTCGTGATTCGGGCTGTTGGAGGTCTGATGCCGACTGCAGATGTGTTGTTTAGAAAGCAAGAGCATTCGTATCCATTCGATGCTGGGTACAAGTGGAAACTTCAGTGCCAGGTCCTCCTTGCGCAGCAGGAAAGACGGACTCGTGACCCGGTTCCTGTAGTATGCAAGCACTTCTTTCCTTCCTTCCTCGACATCTGCATGACTGCTGTCAATCTCGCAGACAGGATCGAAGAGTCAAAGGCGCAGATGGCGAAGTTTCTCAGAAGGGCAATGGATTCGTAAGCCGATCTTCGTTTCTATCGACATCGACAGGCAAGTGAAGTCCAGCGCGATGATATCAAGACTTCTTGCACGTGCAATGCTTTCTGCTTAGTGATCATGCTCGCCAGCCCAAATGCATCTGTCTTCCAGTTTCAAGAATCGACATTGAATTCGGGCCGAGCACCTGCCAAACCGCCAAACGTGCTGTTCCTATAAGGGAACAAACTTGAGTAATCCTACCCGCACCCTCTCCCCCAATACTATACCAAGACCACTCCACGTTTAGCCATTTCTACCCAAAATGCCGTATGCCATTGTTTTCTATAGATTATCTAATTCCATTCCAGGACTTTTGGCATTCCTAAGGTCAATTTTTGCACTTATACTGAGTACCTTGGGCGCTGTGAATGCACACAGCTTATCTAAGGACCTTCAAAAGGTCGTTTGATTAAAGGAAAGATAGCTTACGATAAATTTGAGGCATAATCTTCTACCCTACCAGCTTTCGAAACGTTAGTTGGCGTTGTTGAAAAATAATTATCAAGTGTCTAGAAGGGGGAGGGTGCGTGTAGGTTTTGGGGTGGGTGCGGGTAGGATTACTCACAAACTTTGAGGGGGCTGTGCCCTTGATTTGTGCAGTTTCGGTTGTCGCCCTGAGACACCAGATCTTGTTCGTGACTTTGACGACTCTCTTTGCCGCTGTTTGTTGTGTGTCTCGGAACCTGGTAGCGAGGGAATGGGCGACAAAACTTGCTTCATTCTTGATCACGAGCGCCATCGCGGCCACCAAAATTATCGTGCGCGTTCCTATTAGGTGTTTCGTAGACACAATTGTCATTGACTTGAACGTTGTTGTTCTGGACTTGAGACAATGCCCATGTCTTGACAAGACAAGGCCGTATATTTTTGCGGTTTGCCGTGTTTTTCTCGGTGCGGTAGGGAATGGTCTCTTGACAAAAATAAGCTGTCTATTTTTGCGGTTTGCCGTGTCTTAATCGGTGCTCAAGGGAATGGTAATGGTGCGAACAATTCCTGATGCCAGCCAAAGGTTCATTCCGGAGCTCAATCATCCGGAAAGGCCGTGAATAGAATACTCAACGCCGCCATACCTTGGCGATTGATTAATATCAAAACACATCGTGTGATTTGTTTCGCGTCGTGTCTGGGAAGGTATCATGTAGTTGTTTATAACGCGTGGAAACCCCCAACTAGCTCGTTCAATGCCTCCATCATCAGCCCTATAGGAAGCATCAGTAGCATCAATAGACCTACCGCTACCATGAGGTTTGCGGTTTTCCGTGCGGCCGCTGCCTTGGTGACCATCCTTACTCCTACCATCGTCACAGCCGCCAACCCTCTTCAAGCCCATATTCATACAAACGAGCATGCCGTATCCCCTCGGGACGCGGTGGCCAACAGCCAGGGCAACACGACCGACACGGCCATCATCCGCTCCGAAATCCCCCGCCTCATCATCTATTACCAAACCACACACGATAGATCAGGCAAGCCCATCTCGATGCTCCCGCTCATTACAGAAAAGAACATCGCTCTCACGCATCTGATCGTTTGCTCCCTGCACATCAACAAAGACGGCGACATCACCCTCAACGACCACTGCCCCACCCACCCGCGTTACGGCACCCTATGGCAAGAGGCCCAAGTCCTGCGCTCCGCCGGCGTCAAAATCATGGGCATGATCGACGGCGCCGCAGTCGGTTCCTTCTCCAAAGAGACGCTCGACTCGGCCGACGAGACCGTCTTCAACCGGTACTACGGCCAACTCCACGGGACCATCAAGCACTACGGCCTGCAGGGGCTCGACGTCGACGTTGAACAACCCATGAGCCAAAGCGGCATCGAGCGGCTCATCTTCCGCTTGCGGAAAGACTTCGGGCCGGATTTCATCATCACCCTGGCCCCCGTCGCCAGCGCGCTGACTATCCAGGGCGCAAGAAACGGCTGGAACCTCAGCGGGTTCGACTACCGCAAGCTCATGCTGGCGCAGAGTGGCGCCGGCAAGGAAGTAGCCTTTTATAACTGCCAGTTCTATTCCGGGTTCGGCGACGCGGGGAGCCCCAACCAGTTTCACCAGATCATCTCCGACAACCGGGACATGCGCGGGGCACTGACGCCTACCAAGGTGGTCATCGGGCAGCTGACGAGCCCGAAGAACGGCGGGGCCGGGTTCGTGACTGCCGGCACGCTGGCGAACTCGATCAAGAGCTTGAGGGACGTGTACGGACAGATTGGCGGGATCGCGGGGTGGGAGTACTTTAATGGCCTGCCGGGAGGGGAGGAGGAGCCGTGGAAGTGGGCGCAGACGATGACGGCGATTTTGAGGCCGGACCAGGTGCCCACGTTGAAGGTCACGAGGGAGATGGCGATCAAGTTGACCAGTGTTTGGAAGGAAAGTGCTGCTGCTGGGATGAGGGAGGCGGCGAGCAAGGTGAAGGCGCAGGGGTTGGAGCCGACGGTGGATTATATGGCCATGGTGAATGCTTAGCGAAAGGGAGTGTTCGACCAGCGTGTTTGTCTGCTTCTGTTAGTATCGATTCAGAGGATCGTTTTCAATTTTCATAGATATTGTTTGGTGTAGATAAAGCGAAATAGAGGTCAATGGTGTTGAGAAAAATGCGAATAGGACCCTTGTGGTTGCTGTGGTAGGACCCTTGGACCCTGATGATGTCGATGACGTATTTGCCTTTGTGGTGGTGCAGATCCCCCCTTTCGCCGCAACAACACAGCCACCAAGTACTTCACGTCCTCAATCCTCTCTCTTTCTGTCAACAAACTCTTCTCTCAGTCGTAGAACTACCACCATTTTCACCCCAAAAAGGCATCAAATATCACATATTCCTTCAATCAGCACTGTGGCCCAATAACTTGCCGACAATCTCCCCCCAGCCAGTACCGTCAGGATAGCATCCGAACTTTTCCATCATCGCCATGGCCTGGGCCTCCTCCTTTTCCCGTCCGACCAAGTCGGACGCCATCCCGCCCCCCTACTACCTCCTCCAACAATACCAAAACGATCCCGAAGAGCCGTACTGCAAAGGCTGTGGCAAGCTCATCGACCCCAAGCGCACCTTTGGCATCACTGGAGCTCCCGTGTCAACTGCTGCAAGCCAGAAGCAGGCAGCAGGCAAAAGCAAGGGATCAAAGCGTGGCGGTAAAGACCAGGACAAGGAAGACGACAAGGCTTCCGAGAAGACGGGCCAACACCAGCAAAAGGAAGTCGCCAAGTTCTGCACTTCGAGATGTCGCAGTGAGTCCCATCACAAGAAGCGGGACGTAAAGGAGCAGGAAAGGCAAATCGAGGAGACGTATATCAAGTTGTTGAATGGGCAGATGGTGGAGGGGATGGAGCAAGTTGCGGATGGCCAAGCGGATGGAAAGAGGAAGGGCAAGAATGGTGGAGCGAAGCCAAAGAAGGGAGAGGGAATAGTGGTGACGCTGGAGGAGGTGGAGGCGATTGTCTATGGGAGGGAGAACGATCCCGAGAAGGTGTATGGGAGGAAGAAGAACCGGAAGTCGAGGGCGCTGACTAGCCTGGGGACGAACGACGAAGACACTGCAGACGAGGAGTCTCAGTCAACTTCAACAGAAGCTGCACGACCACCGAGTAGAGACTCGGCAATCGGCGGCATCAACATTGAACCTCTCCAGCTGGATGACAAAGCTGTCAACGACGAGATCGCTCCGCTCCCAAAGGGCAAGTCCCATCCGTACACCACTGGCGGCCATGAGGTTGCTCGTCTGGCTATTCGCAGCGGCACGCGCATTCGTCCTCCCCAAGAGGTGTCTGAAGTCAATGGCAGCGTTGGCGGAGAAAAGGGACGGGCTGAGCGGAAGGCAGAAACGGAGGAGATGAAGGAAGAGATAAGACAGAAGAAACTTGAAGGGGATAGAAAAGCGCAACAAAAGGATATGATCAAGTCGGTGGCGAGGAGAGGAGTGGTGTTTGGGTTTGATGCCTCTACTTCTCCTGATGGGAAGAAGAAATTGTGCGAGTGTGTGATGCCTGGAGGCAAGGTGGTTGAGCCACACTTTGCGAAGGGTAATTGGGGGATTCGATGGAGGGAGTGATTGACGTTGGAACTTCCCGCGCTCTGAGAAACAAGACTCGGAAATAATTGCAGTACTTGGGCTGCCAGCGTTAGTTAACGAAGACCTCTAGAGCGATATCGGCGAAGAAGACGAATGGAAGCACTGGTGCCGGAGTCAATTGCGTGAAACATTTCAGACAAGGTCCATGCCTTAGACGACATCCGGATCGACCAATAAAGAGGGTCGGACGGTTAATGTTGGTCATGTTTGAGAAAGAATGAATGGCGATGGGACGAGCCAAACATCCAGGGCAGGACGAAGACGGTGACGACGACGATGTTGGCGACGAATGAAGCGAAGGTCGCAACTGCACCAAATGGATGGCCAAGCCTTTCTGTATATTAACTTATCGATAAGAAAGTACTTACGTAAGCCAGCCGTAGAGGTTGCGGCAGTGGGGAATTTCGACGAGCTTCGACCGCGGTCGCGCTCAATCGACATCATCATCACCATTCGTCAACCTTTGATTTCTTGCTCGCTATTTGCACTCTCTTCGCCATTTTCCGCGTTGGACTATCGCTTTAATTGACGTACCAAAACCCACAATCTACCGCATCAACGAATTGCTCAATCACTTCCACAATCATCATGGGCTCCATCGTCCTTCCCCACCTCGAGACCGGCTGGCACGTCGACCAGGCCATCCTCAGCGAAGACGAGCGTGTGGTGGTTATCCGTTTCGGACGCGATCACAGCCCCGACTGCATGCGCCAAGATGAAGTCCTCTATCGCATCGCCGACAAGGTCAAGAACTTTGCAGTAATGTAGGTCTTCCTCCGGCCTTGATCCCTCTCTTCCATCAACAGCTGCTGACCCATCGCAATACCAACAGTTACCTCTGCGACATTGACAAGGTTCCCGATTTCAACCAGATGTACGAGTTGTATGACGAGTGCACGCTCATGTTGTAAGTGCCGTCTCCGTGTGATGGATCTTGAGTTGCGAGACAGACAGCTACTGACGTGTTTCAATTGCACAGCTTCTTCCGAAATAAACACATGATGATCGATCTCGGCACCGGTGACAACAACAAGATCAAATGGGTGCTCGAAGACAAACAAGAACTGATCGACATCATCGAGACGGTCTACCGCGGCGCGAAGAAGGGACGCGGTCTGGTGGTTAGCCCGAAGGATTACTCGACCAGACATCGCTATTAGAAGGACGAATGACGACATAAACGACACGAGAACGATTTATATGATATGGCGAACGCAAACCCAAAAAAGTACGGAAGTTGCTCGACGAGATAAGAGCGCGTTCGATACAATGCGGAAGAGGAGGGTCGCCGGAGGCTGCGGGGGAGCTTTGGGTTGGTTCTCGCGAGTCGGCCCTGCTCTGGTTTCCATTTCCCACGGGCATTTCGAGGCGACATTTCGAGGCATAATCGGATGGGGATACGGCTGTTAACTCGGCGACGAATATGCGATGGTTGGTTTGGGTTCACGCCGAGCCGCGAGCTGTTTTTGGGGAATTAGCACACGAGCGTGGAAACACAAAGGCAAGCGGAACCATTTAAATCGGGCATTGAATGTACCTAGCTAATGCTGAGCAGAACCGGGCAGAGAAATTGATGCCATGGCGCTTACCGACGGAGTCCTTGCGATGCTGTCTAAGCGATTCATGACTGTCCACCGGGCTGCACTTGAAACACAACATTGTTCGCACGTATCACAAAGACCCTCGTCACATGTCACCTAGCACCAAAATGCGTGGCGCCTTTGTTGGGCAGACGCCATCGGGAATGACATGCAGTGAAAGTACCTTCAACACTTGGAAGCTCCTCTGTTCTGGAGCTCTTCATTTTCCAAGGCCCAAGGCGCAAAGGCGTTTTCTGGGTGGGCGGTCCAAATCCAATCCTGAATGAGGCGTTGTGGGGCAGCCGTTGGGGTTCAGGGGTAAGGGTTGGGGGACCTCAACTTGTGATATTACTGGTAATAATCGATATGGGGTTCAACGTGGCTTGATTGTATGTGTATGTGTAAGATTGGCTCTGCAGACTCGAAGCTTTGGCATCTGGATAAATCCCGTATATCCTAGCCCAATTGGGCACGTGCACGCCCAGTGGATCCCCTGACCACTAATATACCCCCTTAGATCTAGTATACAAACTACGCCAGATCTACCCAAATATACCCTAAAATGCTCTTAAATCCTCCTAAAACTAGCTAGAAATAATATTATTCCTAGATTACTTCCTTATTACGGTAGCTTTCAAACTTTTACTCGTAAGAGTTTTGCCTTATTACACTTGCTATTACATTTGCCGATTCATTGCCCGAATCCTCTTCTATAGAGTCCTCTATACCCTTTAGGCAGCCCATAGTGATATTTCCGCTGCTAAACTCTCGTAATTGAGTTTGTGATTGTTATAATTCTATGAGTCCTAGCTGCTGTATAGATTTTAGATGTGTTGCGGAAAGGAGGCTCTTTATAAGGTTATTCGCGATCTATTCTTTAGTAAATACGTAGATTACGTTTATTCGCTTCCTTTCCTACGTTTATTTTCATTAATATTTATATATATTAACGTATTTAAACTTAATTACGAATCGAATTCCCTCCTTTATAATAAATTGTATCGTTTATTTATTATTATAATTTATAAATGTAGCCTTTTAATTTTCGAATCCTAGGGTAAGCTTATTAAAGAGACGGCGGGCGTAAATTGCCTCTTTAATTCCTTAATTGAAGGATAGTAATTCAACTTCTATAAATAAAGTTATAACTATATTTTGCTTATTAGTACGCCAATTGATAATAGCGCTTAATAGTTTAAATATAAATATTTATAAAACTTTTCGATTAAGAGAATTATTTATAAATAAGGAATTACTTATAATATAAAAGTCTTAGTAGTTTTTATTACTTAATTAAAGAATATAATTTCAAATTGCTAGAAGGTAGAAGAGTATTCTATTTATAATTATATAATATATTAAATTGGGCTTTAAATTAAATCGAACGAATTTAAAGACCGGGAAGGTTATATTTAATTGCGATGTAATAACGATATAAAAAATCGAACTAATTTTCATTTAATACGCGTAAATTTCGTACGGGGCTATACTATTTTAATAAAATAGGAATTCTTCCCTAGCTATAAGCGTAGAGTATAATTTCTTTATATATTTAACCTTTTTTATAATCTTTTAAATATAGTCGCACTATAATAATTAAATTAATTTCTTCTTTCAATCTCAAATAATTTCGATATTTAAAAACTATTCTAGTAGCTTTCTACCTGTTAATTAATATTTCCTCTCTATAACGGTTACTACCCCTTTAATTATAATAATTTCTTTATTCTTATATTTATAAGTAATAATAACATTATCGACGTAGAAGAAGAAAAATATATTATTTTTAATTAGCATATTAGGTTCTATAGGGAGAAGGTTTATATTTATAGCTACGAAGGTCTTAATAAATTCTTACTACTAGAAGAGGGGAGATTTCTATAGATTATATAGTGCGCGTAAAAGTTAAAATATTTAATCTTTCTTAATATACTTAGGGAGAACCTTTATAAATATTACCTTATCGAATATAGTATTAATAAAAGCGTTCTTTACATTATACTAAATCAAATCGAAATTAAAGTAAACGGCTATAACTATTAGAATACAGAATAACCTAATTGCTAGAATCACTATGTATATTTTATATACGCTATCCTTAGATTATTAATCTTTACGTATAATTAAACGCGCTTTATATTTAAAGAACCGGCCGTTTCAATTGAATTTATAGGTATATACCTATATCGAACCGAATATTTCGTTATCTCCCGCTTTCTTAATACTAACCTACTTCCAAAACTTCTTATCCTTATACTTATTTAAGTATTCCTTCTCTATAGCTTTAAAAAATTCCGTAAAGAAGTAAGAATTAAAATTATTATAGTACTTTAAAAGAAGTAGAAAGTTAGTTCGATAGAAGGTCTTTAATATACCCTTTACTCTATAGTAATTAATAATATCCCTTATTATTTTTAATTTAGGATTCTAATTGGGATTAATATCAATACCCCTCTTTCTTATTTATTCTAAGAAGGTTTAATTTACAACCTTATCTTCCTAGAGGCTTATAAATCGATTACCCTTTATAAATAAGAACAACGCGGCCTGATAAAAATATTAATTTATAATTAGCTATAATTCTTTATTAGAGCGAAAAAAATCGATTATTAGAAATACAGTTAAATTATTAGGAAGCGTAAAGAGATAGCCCTCTTTTTTATCCTTCGAATTTAATACCGTACTTTAAAAATCCGACGGCGATTATATCGGCGGCAATAGTAAAGGCTCTAAAGACCTTTACAATATTTCTAAACCTAACGGTATCCCTAATACTTACGGGATTTCTAAGAATTTAGATTGCGTTTATATTTCTAGAGACCCTAATTCTCCCTCTTCTCCTAATATATTTTTAATTTCGGTAAGAAAGTTTTAAATAATAGGGTTAGAGACTCCGTTATTTATAATAAATTCAACCTCGACCTATAAAATATCTATTTATATAATATTTATTTATATAATATTTATTTAATTAGTCTTTTAATTATGTAATTAACTTTTTAAAGGAAATATTAAAGGTATTATAAATTTCTTTAACATTATTACTAGGGAAGACCTCGTCTTTATTAAATATAATATTTCGTATAATAATAAGAGAATTAACATAAGGATTCCAAATCCTATAAATATTTATTAATTAATATCTAATCAAATAGCCAACCTAAATACGGTCCTTAAACTTTATTAACTTATTCTATTCTTTTATAATTTCTATTATAAAAATAAAGGCTTTATAACTATATACTTTAAAATATACAATAGTAAAGGAGGGGTTTAATAGAGGAATAATACCGTTTTTAAATTAATAGTAGGTTTCGAATCAGTTTTGGGGAGATTTCTAATAATATTCCGCCTTAAGAGTTAAACTATATAAGTATATAACTATTTTAATAATTTTTATTTACAATTCGTAAGGAAGATTTATATTTAATTATATTACTGTACCCTTAATTTTAATTATACCCCCTAATAACTCTACGCTGCCGTTTTAAATTTACATATAAAGCGCTAAAGGCTCATACTAATTCCCTTTATAGCAAATTAAATAGTAATTTTCTTACTACTAATTATTTCGTTATCGTATTCGATTACCCGAAGTATAATTTAGTACTAAATCTATAGCCCTATAAAAGGGAATTCTAAATACGCAATAATAAATTCGGCTTTTCTATTACCTAAATAATATACTTAAACGAATCTAAATTATTAATCTACGATTACTATTAGATTTGAGTACTTCTAGCCCCTTACCTTTACTTTTTTATAAGAGAAGAAATTAATAGTTAATTATAATTTAAAGCCCTTTAAATAATTATCAATTTCTCTATATATTTAGCGCTTCAATTGAATTTTAGTATATAGCTTATAATATATTATATCTAATCTCTTAAATCGTACATTATACTTTCATTCTATTAATTTAATTAAAATTTCGGATCCCGGGTAGCCAAATTGAAAATACTAATAAAGGGGCTTACTTTCTTAAAGCTTCCACTTAATATAATTTATATACCGTATAGTAAAAGAAGATTCGTTAACGCTATTCTATAAAGGGATATATTCTAAAATAAATTACTTATATTTAGAAAGGATATAGTAAATAAAGGAGTCCGTAAGGCAAGAGTATAAATAATTATTCTTATAATCCTAATAAATTTATCTATCTTCAAATTAATTTAAAGAGACGAGATTATAAACTATACCCAGTATTAGAATAATATTAAAGAATTAGAGCTCTCTATTTCCGTTATCGTCCTAGACCGTAATTATATTAATATTATACCCCTCTATAAGAATTTACTTATTTCCCGCCTATATATAAATACTAATATTTAAAGGGGTAAGGTCTTCGAAGTAATTAACCTTATTAAAAATATATATTATTATACCTAAATCGAAGATTGCAAAATCTCTTAATAGGTATATAGCGCTATATTTCATTATAAATATTAAAAAACTATTTTTACCTACCTAACGACCATAGAATTAATTATTTTAATCTTCATCGTCCTATTATATTCGTAAACAATTAACAGCCTCTTTAAATATCTTATCCTTTTTTAAATTAACGTACACGCGCTTTTTAATAGTAGGATTTTCAATCTAGCCTCTATAAACCAACTATAATTTAATATAATAATATTTATTTAAATTATAGCCCAGTTACTGATAGAATTTATATAGGAATTAATATAATTATTTATTCGCTAATAAGGACGAAGAGAAAGCGTATTTATTTTTATTAATATTCTTCCTAAATTTACCGTTCTTATTTATAGCTTCTCCCCGTCCCTCTACCTCCAGAATAGGGTTTTATTTATCATTAGGAGCGTCTTCTTCAATATGTTTACCGCC